ACTGATCCCCAAACCACTATTATGTGGCTTGTCATAATTGATGAAGATTTTTAAAAACTGTACTTCTTCATTATAATTATATGCCACTAAGCTAGATTCTCAAACATGTCAGCAAAAATCATGAGACGAGTCACATGGTTTGTGTAGCACCTGTGTCATGTAACTGGGACTCGTGCAGAGGTATGGGAAAGTCTCTTACCCTTCTCTTCCCAACCTTCACACAATAATTTCCTCTCTTCAGTTTTGAAATGTGTGATTTATAATATGAAGAATAACAGATTAAGAAGAAAACTTCCCTAATGCATTTTGGCACATTACAAAAGAAGAAAGTGAATAACCAAGTCGAGAACTCTGAAGTGTTTAAGGAGTGGTACGTTCACCAGTACTGACAGTAGGATGCATGTTCCCGATTAATAATTTTTCCAAGAATTGATCTTGCTTGACCCTTTAATTGTACTGATTTAAATTTGGATTTACCCATCCCGTAAATGTGTTAAGAGCAACTTCCCAGCTTTTATCCTAAGGAACCACATGAAAAGAAATTTAATGCAAAGATATTAGGGGCAAAAGATATCCTATCATTATGGTGCCATAGACATATTTGTCTAAGTCAAAGAATCTATTGTATATCATTTTGGCTTTGCCATCAACTTCCTCTTGCAAATATCACTATAGCATACACATTTTTCTCCCCATTCCTTGTCACTTTGCACCACCTGTGACTTGGCCTATACCTACGTTACACTTTCGCTAGAATGCTGACAGCTTCTCATATCATTTTCTTAAATTTATTGGGGTGTGACATTGGGTAATAAAATTATATAGATTTCAAGACCATCTCAAGTGTTTTACTTCTTTTTCTGAGGGCAAACTGTCTTGAGAGCCTGCTCTGTCCATATGCAAAGCAGGCTGAAAGTGCCCGAGATTTAACGTGTCAAGGAGCAATGCATCACTGGTAAGGGACACGAATCATTGATAAACACCCAAGCTTTCCTAGCCTTCTAGAAGTACCCTGAAGGACACTTCACAGCACCTCAAGTGATAAAAACTTAGCTACTTACAGGAGTAATGGACTCTCTATTCAAACTTCATTGGCTTCCTCCCTTCCCAGTCCTTACTTCCTTATTTCCTCATGTTTGTTCCTGAAATAACCTACCAAATAAACATAACATATCCAAGTCTTCACCTCAGGATTTGCTCTTGGGGGAATTGTATAAATTCCAGTCTCTTACAGGGTATTAGTAAAACAAGGTCACAAATATCTATAGCACAAATGAAACTCTGCATGTGAATAAGAGATAGTGAATATATCACATTGCTAAATAATTGGAGGTCTTATCAGAAACCTATTAGTAATTGAGGCACAGGTACTCACGGAGCATCTCTAATTTTGTCCCGACCATCAGCATTTTGCTTAGACAACATTGTAGGTGGAGCTTTCAAAAAATGTTTATACCAACTTCAGAAGATTTATGATTTAGTGTCCTCATATCAATATCGAAATCATAATAGAAATTAGAAAGCTTATGACCCTCAAAGAACAAAATAAGTGTGAAAAAACTCGTTAGTAGAAAATATAGTGGTAAAAAGTTATTACTAATATGCGTGCTATAACTTACTGGGTCTGACATTGGTGATGATACTCATTTCTCAAATTTAATTGAAGACTGCCATCAAAAATTGTCACTGCAGCTAATCTAGTGATCAGACGATCATTGCCATCTACTCACCTAAAATAAAGTATGGCTTTGGGTTTCCCCACATGATGAATAACTTGAGTGCAGTCAGAAGAATTTATGATTACTTCTCTCCTTTGAGATTCTCCCTTGGGAGCTTGACTGCAAGTTCTTGCTTATTCCCAAACATTGGAGAACAGGAAATTATGCCAGAGTCTTGGTTAATTATTTATGGTACCTTTGATTTTCCTATTGACAAAGTGTTTTTTACATATAAAGCATCTACATTACTTTGTTATTTGCTTATTTTTTACTACATTACTAAAATATCTGGATGTAAGTATATTTTTTGTTAGATATGTGTTTTATTAATCCATAAATTACTTCATATTCAGCATATTCCACAATGGTTTCTTTACAAGATTTGTCTGAGGATGAAGACAGAACTCTTTAAAAATGTCCAATAGTATTTTAAAAATCCAGAAGGAATAAAAATTAAGAATATATGTGTTACTCGTGTTTTTTTAATATAAATGCCTAAATTGAGTTAATGATACTCTCATTCCATATCCATAATTATCATCAGTCTTTATTTTGTATTTTTACTTCAATTTCCCATCTCCACATTAGGGAAGTCAATTATGTCTTTTAAAAAGAACACAGGCATATAAAGTAAATATAATGTATGTTTCAATGTGCATATCTATGTTGTTATGTAATTCATTTTGATACCTAAATATTCTCACTCAAGTAAAGGTTTTTAAAGTATATTCATTTTAGTACATGCACAACAGTATTTTGCTCACTTCCATTTAATAAATTGCTCTCTAATCTGGGTCTATTCCCATTTAATATATGTTTGTGTCCATAGTAATAAGAATTAACTTACCAACTCTTAAAATCTACATGTATCACCACAGTTAACACCTTAGAGTGTGTTCCCACTGACCCTTGAATGAACATATCCATGGAATATTTATCAGCAAACCAGTAGTATGCTGATTTAAGAAAAATGAGCACATTTAATTTATTTAAATAAGGATAAATCTGTATAACACTTCTTTTTTCAATATATCGTCTACCATCAATATACAAGGATTTCATGCTCTTGATATCTAACTTATAAATATATATTGCTCGCTCATATAAGGGATTCCAATAAATAATTAAATCAGATTTAACTTTTAGAGTGAATATTGTCTTGCTTGTCTTATGACCATGTTTTTAACAAAAATCTATACTTATCTGGATTTGAAAGAGAAAGGTGCAGTAAGCATAATATATGTCAAGAAAAAAGTTTAAAAATTATAACGGGTGAATAAACAAATAAGTTGAATATTTGAATGTCCATAGCAATGTTAAGAATGACAGTTTGGATACTGCTGACGAAGTAGTTACTGAAGCGACACAAAATACTGACGTCCACCCAGTAGCATCTGGTTGGCTGACGATCAGATGTCTTTACTTTCCTCCTGGGCACGTGGCTAGAATTATTAATAATATACTTTCATGACTTCCTGTATCAATCACTTTTTATGATTATGTAAACATTAATAATCTTTATCATTCAGTAATATATTCTTTTGGATCTTTGCCATGTATATTTTATAAAGTGTGTTTTAAAAATCGTTAGTAACCTTTTCTGACCATTACTGCTCAAACTACTTTAGTTGTTAGAATCTCTTTATAAGAAATATATATTTTGATATTTAGTTATATATTATATAATTTAATATTCAGTTTGGCAAGCTAGTTAACCCAAATGCATGTTCATTTTGTGAGATGAAGTAAAGTATTTGCTCTCACAGATGTTTTTGTCAACAAAATTGCTCCAACCCAGATAACGGCTGTTGTTTATAAAAATATTTTTCCAAGTATGAAAGAGTCAAAAACAATCCTCTACAGAAGCTTGGAATAGAAGGTGACAAGGAGGGCCATCATTGATGGAAGTATCTCAGGCTTCAAAAAGGAATAGCTGTGTTTATTAGAACGGATGAACATTTTTATAGTCTTTCAATGAAATACTGAAAAAAAAAAAAAGCAGAATTAAGAAAGAATAGGAGCTAGGAGGCAGCATGATGGTTTAAGGTTAGAGAAATATTTGAGAAGGGCATGTGGGAAGTTCTTTTGCAGTGCGGTCGTGAAGTTACTTTAAGAATAAGGAGGCCTGATGCTATTTGACCTCCTTGCAGACATGTCTGCAGTGAATCGACTTCATTTTCAAATGATTTCTTTGAAAGGGCTTTTTCATTTCCATGGAGATAGAATTTTACCTTTGTGGCTGAGGAAATTTTACCTTTGACATTAAAAAAATTCAATTTTACCTTTGAAATTAAAAGGTCCTGAATTCTGTCCATTTCTATTATCTTTACTTCCCATGTCACATCCCCTCTTCCTCACTCCATTTTATGTTAGCAGTGTTTTACATGTACAGGCAGAGGCATAGCACACAATGACTGTTAACTTATTTTTTTCCCTTGGTCGAGTGTAATGAGTGCCATTGAGAATCGTCGTCACTTTCAAGACAATTACATGTTGTTGGTCTAATGACATTTGACTCCAAAACACACTGAACAAAAATTATAAATGATTTCATAACAAAGAAAATTAATTCTACGCTATAGATTTTAGTATGAAAATATAACAGGAAAAAATTTATTTTACACCATCGTTTGATGCATATCAACATTTTGCTTTGTTTACGTGCACCAAGTGAGGTGGAGAGAAAGTAGAATCTCTTTTTAAATACGCTTTTCAGTCTGTTTTGCCACATGTCTTATTTCCATGTATACGTAAGCTTTTTAATTTCATTTTTATTTTCACTTAGCGGCTTATTTTTTGTTACATAAATTTGTATTTAGCACAAGATAAAAAATAATGGGTCCAAAATTAATGGATAGAACGGGTCCAAAATTGATAGATAAAATGCTGCAAAAATAACAATACTTTTACCAGTTGAACAAAAGATATCCGTGGCAAAGTAGACGAACTTACATTGACCACTTTCAGAGAAATGAGTCTCGCTTACCTCTTCCACCACCTATCAGGCCTTCCCTGTTTAGAAATGATAAAAACTCTTCAGAAAATTCCCTTTCACTTTAATCTGTATCTTCAAATTATTGTTCATTACTCATATAACTGGGTTTTCTTTGGTCAAATAATGCATTATTCTAAAGAGAAAACTGAGTACTTGAGGTTGGAATACAAAGGATGAAGATTTTCCCCATTGAAATTAAAGAGATTTTCAACTATTTATTGACTCTTCACTGAACAGTAGGATTTTCAGGAGTAAAGGGAAATACTTAAATGACGATAGCTGTCGTTTTAAACCGACATGGGTTTAATAGATTGACGTGGGTTATCCAGTAATCTCTTCAATGCGTCCTTCACATCTTTGTTCCTTAAGCTGTAAATGAGGGGATTCAGCATTGGTATCACTAGCGTGTAGAAGACCGAGGCCATTTTATCCGTATTTAATGAGTGGTTGGTCCTCGGTTGCAAATACATGAAGAGAAGAGTCCCGTAGAACACAGTGACAGCCGTCATGTGAGAAGCACAGGTGGAAAAGGCTTTTCGTCGCCCCTCTGAGGAACGTATCCTCAAAATGGCAAGGATGATATTGCCATAGGATATTAGAACAATAATCATAGAGAAAAACAAATTGGTCCCCGAAAAGGTAAACACAGCTGTTTCTGGAATGTAGGTATCAGAACAGGACAATGCCAACAAAGGGATGTTATCACAGTAAAAATGGTTGATTATATTGGAAGAGCAATAGGACACAGAGAATACACAGGAAGAGACAGTGAGTGCTGTGGTCAGACTGTGGAAGTATGTGAGGGACACCAGCAGAAGGCAGATCTGTGGAGACACCACCACCATGTAGCGCAGGGGGTTGCAAATAGCCACGTAGCGGTCATAAGCCATTGCGGCCAGCATGAAAATCTCGGCCACAATACAAACTAAGAATCCACCCAGCTGGGCTGCACATCCATAGTAAGATATAGTTTTTTTTGAAATCAAGAAGTTAACCAGCATTTTAGGGGCAATGACAGTAGAGTTTCCAAGATTGATGATGGCCAAATGCCGGAGGAAAAAGTACATAGGAGTCTGAAGTTGAGAGTCGATACTGGTGAGGGTGATGATGCCCATATTCCCTGCCACGGTCAGCCCATAGATGACCAGGAAAACCAAGAAAAGAGGAATCTGGAGTTCTGGACTATCTGAGACTCCCATAAGAACGAACTCAGTCACCTGAGTGAGATTCCCTGGAGCCATTGACTTTGCCGCTTTCATCATTGAATGAGGAAAACAAAGAGATTAATAGACAATGAAATAGTGTTTGTTAGATGCCAGATTATTAAACGTTTAAGTGTTCAGAGATACTTAAATTTTCAGATTTTGCTTCTCACCCAATTTCTACCACACTGCTCTGCTTCAGCGGTGCACGAACTCCATCTTAATACTGTTCCTTCTTAGTATCATTTAGAAACTTGTGTCCTCTTTGATAATAACATTTTGTTTCTTCTACTAAATCAGCTAGTCCTTCCCTTTATCACTCTGACTTCTAGTTGTTCTAAGTCTTCTCTATTATTTTATTCTGGTAAGAATTCCTCCCCTTTCAAGCTTTTATATTTTCCTTTAAATTGTTTAAGATCTTTTTTATTTTTTCAAAGTTATTACTTACAGTTATGATTTGTTAAAATTTGATCACTTTAATTGGATAGAGAAGTGATAGGGGAGACTGCTATCATTGCTTAGTGTGTGATGTACTGTGACCAGCACTGAGCTTGGCATTTTGAAACCTTGTTCTCCTTATTCTACAGGAGGGTCCTAGAAGGTGGATGTAATTACTTGTATATCTTATGAGACAATTGAGGCTCAATGAAATAAGTTAGTTGAAGAGTCTGTATAAGATATTGGTTAATGGAAAGGTGTTATGGTTTTGTTTTATGCGTTTTGTTTGCTTGTTTGGTTGGTTAGTTGGTTATTTGCCTGTTACTTCACTAATTACCAGCTATGTGTTTTTTCAAGTATTTCTATTGTCTTGTATAAATTAAATGAGATAGTGCACACATATAGGTCATTTAGCAGAGTCTGCTAACAATAAATACAATATAATTGGTACCAATACTTATTATTATTAACATGTTTTGAATAATTTTTTAAACAGGATTTTTGTTTTTTATTTCAGTCTCAGTAACCTATTCTGCCTGACTGAGTGCTTTAATAGTTGACATAAAAATATCAAGTGAATTACTATTTTGCACCTTCAAAAACCTGAAATACATTATATGTTATCTACAATCTAATTCTCTTAACTCTGGTGTGTGTTTGTCTTAATTCAAAGATGCTTAATTTTGTGCATCAAATATGTGTCTGATGAGCTCATCTGATGGTGTTGTAGCAGTTCTCCACACATCTTGTCTTCCAACACTGCATCTGAAAAGAACTGCACAAAGTAAGCTCTTGCTGGAAGACACTGTGCCATCATTCGCTTTGATCAAAATATTCCCTTCTCGTGTGCTACACATCAAGCAACTTCGTACATATTTCACTCTGAGGCAATATATTTGATAAACTTATCCTTAATTTTACAAAAATAGAAAAAGCATCAACAATAGCAATTATTAATTGTCTACTATTAATTCATTTGTTTCCTTACCTGTTATGAATTCTATCGTCTACTGAAATTTAACTGATAGCAAAGCTAGGGTTGCTTTTTATTCTTATAATTACATGCCACTGAAATAAAGTTTCTGATAAAAGCAATTTTAATTTCATATAAATTGCTTTTTTAAATTTGTTTTTTAAATTAAATTTATTGTGATGACATTTTTAATAAAATTATAAAGGTTTCAAGTATACAATCAATAATATATCATCTCTATATTGCATATTTGACTTTGGGTGTTAAATTCACTATCAAATTTGTTTTTTAACGTAAACATTTTATAGGACTACTAAAATAACATCCTCAGAAAAAATGTCAAATACAACTAATGTTATTCATTTGACCTTTCAATTTGGAAAAGAAATGATATTGTAAACAATTTTTAAATATCTTCTGATATGATTTCAAGAGTATGTTCCATTGATTACTAACTGTAGACTTTGTCTTTAATTTATTTAGACATGAGTTATGCTAGGAATGAACACTGCATCCTGATTGAGCTCCCAGTGTCCACCAGAAACATAGAGACGAACTATTGACCCCAGCGAAACTTGGTCTTTCTTGAAGACATAGATCTTATGTGACAAAACAATTAAGAATCTTCCTGACTGGCACAGAGTGTTCTCTAAAACATCTATCAATTCTGCCAGTTCTATGACAACAAACATTCCTTTTTATATTAAGATGAAATATCCTCCCTGTAATGACTATTCATTATTCTGTATAAATGCTCAAGCGGTCTAATTTATCAGTAGTGTCACTGTGTACTTTTGTTTAAGTTGGATCAGCATCACTTTTATTTAGCAGAGATGCAAGTCTCTTGGAAAAGAGAACAGAGCAAATATCATTTTGGTCCTGAGTCTGATTGGAATTAATAAAGCTTCCAAGATACTGGTCCGCACACCCAGAATTAGTAGTAAGTAAAGTATTTGGTTTACCTTATCTGTACACAGGCATCTGCTGAGACTCACTCCTAAGGTTCCTGCACGAAGCATGCTAAAGAGTTTTACAAGTGTCTGAAGTCCCCAAAGATATTACCACTGAAATATGTTTGTATATGGTCCTAGTCCCTGAACATGAGATCCAGAATCCCCAGATCAAGTGCTGATTCCCCAGGGAAAGAAGACAAATTAAATGCTCGTTAATCAAGTCTCCATGTGAAAATTGTACCCAAAGAAAGAAAAATGTGGAGACAGCCTAGAGACTCTCCTCGATATTCATACTTAATAAGAATCACATGCAATGATGCCATGCTTCGTGTGTTTTGAATTGTAGCCCTGTATCTGGGAGTATTGTTGCTGGGCCCAGGATGGAGAAAATTTAACAAAGCACAGGGCTCTAGCCCCAGTGTTCAATTTCAGTGTGAATATGGGGAATGGAAAGCTTCTCTTTTTTGCGTCAGGAACATGCCATGGTATACTTGCCAGAAATATCAGATGACAGGCAACATAAAATCAAAATATGTATGGTTATAAGCTAACTGATATAAATATTTTTATTAAATTAAAGAGGTTCCCATCATGAACCTGATCTTACTTATAGTTTTTAATTAAAGTTATTTATTTAAAAACATATTTTATATAACCTTGTGACCTTTCATCAAACATAAATATTTTAATGAAATATACTAATTTTTAATTTTTCTTTTTGTGAGGTATTTTCTAGTCTATGAGCTTTATAAGTGAAAAGGGCATGTCTAAATAGTTTTCCTTTGTATTAACAGCCTCTAAAATAATACCCAAGTAAAAGTAGATGTTCAAAAAATATTTCAAAAGACTGATTGACTGATGGAATGAATGATAAATGAATGAATGAATGAATACAATATCCATCTTAAAATTCTGAAATAAAATATGAGGATTTTGTTTCCAGGACCATAATCTGTCTTTAATGTGATTTTAGCTTTGATAAAGAAGTAGTAACAACTCGCATATTGTTCCCTAGAGTATTCTCTACTCTAGGGCACAACACAGCTATTTTTTCTTCATTTGGTGTTCCTAATATTTAATAAGGTTGTAGCACATTCTGAGATCTAAAATTAATGAGGCAAAAGACAAATTGTGGCCAATAAAGAGAAAATTACAAAGCTTTTTACCATCCTCAAGTTCTCATTACAATATATTTAAATCCTTGAGGTTCTTCCCAAAGCCTAAACAGTCACGTGAAGTTTTCGTGGTAGCTTCCTCTCTCCATTGTGTAGTGCCTTCATGTGACCGAAGATATGGGCTGTATTATGCTTCATTTGATACTTCATTCTCTCACAAGCTCTGCCAACTTCTCCATGTTTAGCATTCCTAGAATATTATAAAGATTTAAAAAAAGAAACTATTTCTTTTATAATTTTTGCTATTATTGACACTTTTTTTACAACTTGACTTCTCATTCAAATCTTATTCTTTATTGTATAAGAGTTCTATTTTCCATTTTCTATGGAATATGCTATTTAAAACATCTCTTGGTCAAGCAGACAAAACTTTAAGACAATCCCATCACTGAACCACAAAATCTCACCTTTCAAAATATTTATGAGGCATACACACACATCTACATGCACACAAACATAAATATGTAGAAAAATGATATTACAGGTAATATGTTTTCATTACCCACATTAAATAATAGTTTTATCTAATAAGATTTATTATTTTCAAGTAATACATAATTACATAAAAACTAAATTTCCATTGATTTGATACCCATTCTCAGGCTCTCCACCCCACCTAGAGGCAACAACTATCAACTATTATAACCTTTCACTATTTTTCCAAATCTTTTTCTTTATTTTTATTGTGCTAAGAACGCTTCACATGAGATCTACTCTTGTAACAAAATTTTAAGTATACAATAGAGTAATGTTAAGTATAGGCATAGTGATACATAATGAATCTGTAGAATTTAATCATCTTGCATAACTGAAATTTTTTACTTACCGAATAACAACACCCATTTTCCTGTTCCTGCAACCCCTAGCAACTACCATTCTACTCTCTGCTTCTATGTGTTTGACTATTTTATATATTTCTCAAAAATAGTATCATGCAGTATTTGTCCTTCTATGATGAGCTTTTTTATAGTATAATGTCCTCAGGTAACATCCATGTTCTTTTTTAAATAAAATTCATTTATTCTGAAATGAACCTTTACTCACAGGACAGTAAGGACACTAGGAATCTGAATACATTTTTCTGTGGTTGCCAAGCCAAGGATTGTCGTTAGATTATTGCCAACACATGGATCCAAGGATGGGCAGAGTGCTTTACACTGGACTCAGACAGCAATGACTTTATGGAAAGTGTTCTGGGCTAATGTGAGCTTTGGTTGGTTATTGATTAGGTGTTTTTGATTAGGCTAGCCAGATAAAATTATAATGTTATCTACAACTGCAACTATTGGAATTTATATATATCGTTACATGGAGATGAATAAAAACAATATTCAACATCCTAAAGTAATGATTATGTACATATATGTCTGGGTGTGTGCACTGGTGTTATTGTGATAAGTATCAGCATCACACACATATATGTATGTACATATATCTCAGGAATAACATCGTAAGAAGCAAATGAACGATGGCGTTTTTTTACATCTAAAGGCAGTATAGGTAGATGGTTGAATATGATCTTTATTTTAAAATATCCAAGAAAACAAAAATATATTAAAAAACTAATACGAAACATTTTAACCATACCTCTTATATACTGAGACACAACATGTTACTCACAACTTTTAAAATTTATTTTTTACTGTAAAAAGATACTTTATTGATAAGCCAATTTTTCCTAAGCACTCTTTTCATGGCTTCTTTCACATCTTTGTTTCTTAAACTGTAGATGATGGGATTCAGCATGGGAATCACAATCATGTAAACTATCGACACTATCATGTCATGATCCAAAGTGTAGTTGGAACTTGGTCTCACATACATGAAGAGAACTGTACCATGAAAAATGGACAATCCAGTTAGGTGAGCGCCGCATGTAGAAAAGACCTTCCCTACA